GTCTTCTCTCTTTGTTTTTTCTTGATGAGTCTGACTAAATTTTTATCAACTTTGTTGACCTTTCCCAAGAACCAGCTTCTGGCTTCATTGTTCTATTGATTTTTTAGTCTCTATTTCATTTATTTCTGCTCTAATACTTATTATTTCCTTCCTTCTATTGGCTTTGGCTTTGTTTGTTGTTCTTTTTCTAGCTGTAAATGTAAGGTTAGGTTGTTTATTTGAGATTTTTCTTGCTTCTTGAGGTAGACCTATACAATCTGCCCTCTTAGATCAGTTTTTGCAAAATTTCAAAGATTTTGGACTATTGTGTTTTCATTTTCATTTGTCCCAAAGTATCTTTTGATTTAGAAACACATTTTATTTTAAAATTTTTTTTTTCAACGTTTATTTATTTTTGGGACAGAGAGAGACAGAGCATGAACGGGGGAGGGGCAGAGAGAGAGAGGGAGACACAGAATCGGAAACAGGCTCCAGGCTCTGAGCCATCAGCCCAGAGCCTGACGCGGGGCTCGAACTCACGGACCGCGAGATCGTGACCTGGCTGAAGTCGGACGCTTAACCGACTGCGCCACCCAGGCGCCCCTAGAAACACATTTTAAATGACAATTAAATGCAACCCATGTAGTACAATAAATGTACATAATTTAACATGAATAACCATAATTAAATTTGCACACGTGCAGCCAAATAACAACCACCATGCAATTCTCCCCCACCACCACCAGCTGAGTGATCACAAGGAACATTCCATTTCAGAGTTAAACTGAGGAAAAATGTTTCTTAGAATGAATGAAACTTGGGAAATATGAAACTATAAGTGAGCAAGAGGGAACCCAGGGCAGCAAATGCTGAGTAAATTATACTTTTTGACAGAGGGGCAGGTGTCAGTAGACCAATATAAGCTCTCAGGTGCTCACTATGTGACAGCCATGGTGTTCAGTGTTTCCTATACATCACTCTATTGAGTTAAGTAGTTTTATCATCATTTTATAGATGAGAAATTTGAGCTCAGAGATGTTAAGTAACATGCCCAAGGCCACAAAAGTAGGCGACAGAGCCCGAGTATGAACGTGGATGTGTCTGACTCCAGAATCCTTTACAGTCCCAGTTATACCAATTTCCACACTGGCCTATGGCATTGAGTTCTGTAGTTATTATGGTTGTGGTTTACCTTGTCCAGGTATTCCTAAAGGGGTTATTTAAATCACAATTTTACAGAGAGAAAAAAGTATTGTCTGTAGTGACTGCAAGCACAATATGGAGAACGATACACAAGTGACAAAATAGTGAGCTGGAAAGTTAGTAATATAGGCTACTCTGGCTTTTTATGGGAAGAAAATAACTTAGGTTTCTTATGACCCTCCATTGTACAATAGTTATTTGAGTCTGTATTACTTCCTTTGTCACATTATCAAATATCTTACTTGCTTTAAGAGCCCAGGATTTTACCATTTGGCAATTTCAGGTCAACCATGAGCTATGAACTCGTGACTGTCTGGTTCCACTCACCAAAAGACCATGATTAGAATCATTGACAACAGCTCAGCTCAGATATAAACAGCAGCCCTCTGAGCACTTCACCCACCTTGCTTCATTAGGAAAACTCTTTCTAAGGCATGGACCTCTCAGGTAGGAAATAAAAGTAAGGATTTGTACTGAAATTTTCCTCCTTTGTATGCACTTTATTTTCTATTTTTGTTTCCTTCACAAAAGACTTCACCATGAAAAGGAGGAAGCCCAGACTGAAATGAGTTAAAACCTTCGTCTTGGAGAGAGGATTGTGGCTTGGCCCTGAGTTAAGGTGAGATATGTTGATGCATACTAATGAGACCATATTAAGCTCTACATCGTCACACGCTCTCCTTCCCTTTCTCTCTCCATTCTGTCTCCTTTCCTCTCCTTTCCAAGCTGTCTTTGCCTCTTTTCCTCTTCTGGAAACTCAGTGGATCAAGAATGCTACTTTTCTAGATCTCAAGAGGGAGACACATGAACTCAAGAGGGAGAACATGAAGAGAGAGTTTGAGCTGAGAAAGATAAGTGTAAGAAATCACAGCTGTTCTTGAAAATGGAGGGTGAACAACTGCTGTGATTTTGCTTGTCACCCTGACCCAAAGGGTTGCTGACCTTTGTCTTCTTTCCTCCATTATACCTTGCTTTCATCCAAAAATGCTCTTTTGTAATGATTTCTTGCCATGTTCCAGAAGATCCCCCATATATTAGGACCCAAAGAATCCAGTTGATGTTTTGATCACTTGCTGTGTCCTCTGTCTCTGTTAAGGCAGTTTCACTGTCTTTCAACAAAGTGATGATGGTATAAATGCCTTGTGCTGTTGGGTAAGTCATGAAGGAGGGAAAACGTAGATGACAATGAGACTTTAGGTGCTTTTTTCCTACCATCCAATCACTATAAGGATTCTTCCACTGTTGTTGCAAAGGTCTTTTCTAAGAAACCGTGGCTAAATAAAGCCTTTTTGCACTCTAACCCTCAGAACCTGTCCATCTTCTCTAGATCTTCTTTTACACCCCCATCCTCTTCTCTATACCTTTTACTTCCTCTTTCCTTGTAGTATTATTTCCATTAATATCTTTAAAACATCACAAACATACAGAAATATTGCAAGTACACTACAAAGGTCTTTTTTTTCCTGAATCTTTTAAGAGTAATTTGCCAACTTGATGCCCTATTACCTCCAAATACTTTAGTTTGTGTTTCTTACCGTCAAGGGTATTCTCCTCCAGAGCCAAAATTTAACCATCAAAATCAGAACATGAATGTTGCATATTACCATCATCTAATCCTGAGACCCCATTCAAATTTTACCAGTTGTCCCAATAATAGGCTGCCTAGCCAGTTCAGAATCACGATTGCATTTAGTTATCATGTTTCTTTAGTCTCCTTCAGTCTGAAAAAGTTTTAGTCTTTTCTTTGACTTTGACTTGCATTGATATTTTTTAAGATCACAGGCCAATTATTTTGTCAAATATCCCTCTAACTGGCTCTGTCTGATATTTCCTAATGGTTGGATTTGGGTCATGCATCTTTGGGAGGAATATCACAAGGGAATGCTCTGTGCCCTCATTGCATCCTATAAGATGATGCACCATTTTGATTTGTCCCGTTGCTGATGTTGTTCATTCACCACTCCACTATGATGGTGTCTGCACGGCTTCTTCAATGTAAAGTTACTTTTTCCTCCTTGAAAATTAGTAAGTATTTTGAGCTATGTAAATTTCTGTTCCTCACCAAACTTTTAATTTATTAATTTATTTATATCAGTATAGATTCTCAAGTTTTCCTATTTTATTTGACCAGTTCCCCTGTATATAACCAATTACCCTCCTCCTCTACCATCCTCTCTCCTGCTCAGACACCCTCCTCACCCTGCTAGGCTCTGATTTCTTACACTGTACTCCCCTTATCCTGACAACAGAGGTGTTCTTGCCTTCTTTGGGTTCTGAGCCAAGGCTCCCCACTCCCCCAAGTACAGATTCCTGCCTCTCTTTGTCCCAGCTAATGGATTGAAGACAAAATTGTTCAGGAATAAAAGGGAACAGGAAGAAGGATGTCTTCTGTATTCTTTGGTGCTCCCTCTTTTTTCTCTTTTCCATCTGTCCTGACCTATCCTGACCCCTCTCACCCTTGCCAACTCTTGCCAAGTCCTTGCTTTCCAAGCACTCAAGGCAAAATTGAACCATGGACAGTGGCATAAGCTCCACCAGTCAGACTATGAGGGTTTGAATCCTGGTATGGGGACTTAGTTCCCATCCTCTCTGTTTTAGATGGTGGTGGTGGTGGTGGTTTTATCTCTTTCCCATTTTTATCCCCTTAATGCTCTTTCTTTCTTTCTCATTCTTTTTCCATTTTGGCTTCACTCTAGACTGTTTTACTTCCTTGCTTTTCCAGACTCTTTTTACTTTCCCCATGTTCACGTACAGATGTGTTGAAGGGAGGCATTGAGTTGCCACCAGCAGAAGGTCTGATGGGGAATTCCCATGTCCACACTCATATGCTTAATGGGATGTCATGTAGCAGTGGTGTCTGCATCCCATGGCCCTGGCTGGGACAGCAGCAAGACACGTTCACTACTTACCCCTTCACCTGAGCAAAAGGGAAAAAAAGAGTCTTTGAGGAAGGACTGAGGTGGAACTATACACCTGAGGCAGAACACATAAGCAGCTTGCTGGTTAAGGAACCTTCCTCTAACTGGCAGGGAACTTGTGAAAAGGGAAGGGTGATCTTTTGAAAATATGAACAGAATTACATTCTGAGACCATGTTCCCTTCCTGGAATTCTGTCATTTCTGGTAGATAAGAGGCAAAATCCAATGATGTATAGCCATTTTTCTTTGTTGAAGCAGTTTCTGGGGAGAGAGCCAGAACGAGAGACCAGAGGAGATAGACAACAGTCATTGGTTAGAAATCCTCATCCAAGAGCTAAGGATCAGTCAAGGGTGTATGGTCAGGAAAAGACGTTCTCAGTGTAGTGTAGTTTTGATACAGTTCTCACAAAAAAGGATTTGAGAACTCTTCATGATGGCAGGAGCAGTGGTACTATTAATTAGGAAGACAGAACATAATGGTTTGGGGGATGTAGTGTGTGTGTTTCAAGGCCTCCTAGAGAGGTTCTTTCCCTTTCCTAACTGCCCAAATAAATAAGTGTTGCCAGCCCCATTCCCCAGGCATTTTCTGTTACATGGATCTTTTCTAGAGTCTTGAGAGCTCTAATCATCCAGCATCCTTTTTTTTTTTTTTTTTTTTTTTTTTTTTTTTTTAAGTTGATTATTCTTCCTATAGAGTGTAAGCTGCATGGGGACAGGGATCTTCTCAATCATGTTCAGATGTATCACCAATGCCCAAAGCAGTGACTGGCATATCATAGATGTTGATAAAATTTGTTGAATTAATAAGTAAGTGAGGCAACTTCATCATATTAAATTTTCTCTGTATCTGTTCATTGTATTCCCATCCCCTCGACTCTCTGATGTTTGTGAGTAAGCACCATGAAGAAGAACAATAGGAACTCTACCACAAGGATCAATAAGCAAGATGCCATCTCCGTCCCACCCTTCCAAGATGCAGGAGATCTTCAAAATATGTTGGATGGAGGAGAGTATGCCCCTTTTGTATCTCCTCCCATATTAGAGAGCAATTTTCTCCAGGTAAATCATATTTGAGCCCTGAATTAAGTTCCAGTAACTTCAGTAATTAATTTTCTCAAAGAAACTGAAAAGATTGGGAGGAGAATTATTTTAAATGTGATAAAGGACTGCATGAGACAGTTAAAGGGAATAGTTTTGGAACTTTAACCAACCTAAAATAATTACAATGTTAAAGGAAAATTCACCTCAATTTTTCCCAGCAAACTCTCACCCAGGAATTCTGTTCTAACTCTACCATAATTGTCATTCTATCATGTCTTCCCAAAATGACATGAAGGAATTACAATGAATTCAAACATCCCACCACAGGAAAGCATTCAGATGGCTCCTTTCTTAGATTTAAAAGACATTTTAAGGAATAAAATGTATGACATGACTGAGTATTAAAATGAATTTTGGTTGGGATGAGCACTGGGTATTGTATGTAAGCGATGAACCACGGGAATCTACACCCAAAACCAAGAGCTCACTTCCTCCTGCACCCTTTTCCAATAACCTTTTGCAAGCTCTAATGAACACTGGGAGAGGTAGTTAGCACCCTGTAGACCAGACACACCCCATATCATAACTGGGTAAGTTATTCCCTTCGACGTACACAACCTCTCAAGGTTAGTATGTCTTTGGCAGCAAGTTGCCACAGGTTATGCCTCAAGTTTAAACAAAAAAGAACAATGATCTCAAAGTAAAAGAGCACAGCTCCCTTGCATGGAGTCATCGAGGACCCTGGTCCTCTCCTTTTGCTCTATTACCCTCAGGTTGGCTCCCCTCAGGACATTACATGCAAACAGGATGGTGACAGCTGCCAGAAACAGATGAAATGCTCTCATCCTAGCAACTTTCTGTGAAGGCTGAGAAACTGTTCCCAGAGCCACCAGGAGGCCCCCGCTGTGTCTCATTGGCCAGGAGGGGGTCACATGCCCCTGCTGAAAGCAAGCATTGGCAAGGGGATGAAATCACCATGACCAGTTTAGGTTTATCAGTATTTAACCCCAGAGCTGGAGCACCATCCCTGAGGGGCAAATACTGGATGAATTCTGAATGCTGTTAATCAGGCATGGCTTTGGGTAGGTCCATAGTGTGGGCTACAACCTTTTTCTGAGTATATCTGTTTTTAAGTGATTGTTTTTTTGTTTGTTTGTTTTTGTTTTTTTTGAGAATGTACAGCTGAGAAACCAAGTGTTGCCCCTCTTTGGCTTCCTTCACATCCCTGTCTAGCCACTTTTCAGTCTTCTCATCTTCCAACTGGCAGAGATTTTTACTGGCCAAGATTCTTTGATTTGGGGATTTTTGCACATGCTATTCCTCTGCCTGGAAAGTTCTCCTGTCCAGCCAGTTTATCTCATATTGTTCAGGTCTCAGCGAGAGGTCTCTTCCTCTGGGAGATTTCTCTGACCCTATGTCCAGGGTGTGCTGGAGCAGCTAAGTGTTCTGGAAGTTTGCAGGTCTACTGTTTAACACAGCCATTATTAAAAATTAGATTGTATAAACTTATATACTCAAACCTCATCATTCCTATTATTTTACTACATTTTACTATTATTTATGCTCTTGAGGTTATGGATATAAAAATTTGGCAAAGGTCAGTGAAGACTTGTGTGAAAATCAATTGACTATATTGAATTTAAAATGAAGAAAATTGTAAATATCATTGTTTGTAAATTGTGCTACTCATCTTTTATAGCAGTAAAATATGTAATTATCATATGCATATCTTCCAAGAGATAGTTGTTACACATTTACCAGCACACCACTGCCTACATCTCCTCTTAAATCAAGTCTCCTGTTATATGCTTCACAGCACAGCACCCTGACCTTGTACTTGGGAATACTTCTTGCAATAATGATTAGTGACATGTTTGCTTAATGTTCACCTTCCCTGACAGAACCCCCATGGCCCAGGGACTGTGTCTGTCCATTCACTGTGATATTTCTTTTATTTTGAAAAAATGTTTTAATGTTTATTCATTTTTGAGAGACAGAGAGACAGAACATGAGCAGGGAAGGGACAGAGAGAGAGGGAAACACAGAGTCTGAAGCAGGTTCCAAGCTCTGAGCTGTCAGCAGAGCCTGATGTGGGGCTCGAACTCATGAACCACAAGATCATGACCTGAGCTGAAGCTGGACGCTCAACCAACTGAGCTACCTAGGCATCCCACACTGTGATATTTCTAAGAATTCACATCAACAAGTGATTGAACAAATGCATCATGGTTCATTTCTCCATTATTTTCTGCACTGCTCAGGTAAGCCAGGTTGTTGGGGCCATATACTTTATCACAAAACTTCTCTTCCTGTTCTCTACCTTAGGTTAATAGGAGAGGTGAATCCATTTACCTTCACAACCGAGCCAACTGGGTGACTGTAGGCATCTGCTCTTCCAGTAGCACCCACAAGACCCCCAATGTGATGCTTCTGGCACATCTGACACCTGAAGCCCAGAAAAATACAGAACCCCTATTTCAAAGGCTCCTGACATCTCCTTCTCCAGAGAACCTGGTGCTCACCAGGTGAGTTACAAAGGGAAGAGGTTAAGGATCTCTCAGAAAACATGCTTTACCCCTGAGAAACTGAAAATAGAAACACCAATGATATTTGCTCCAAGGGAGCATCTCACTTGCACTGTGTGACAAATGATAGAGTCGTGTCCTCAAAGTCTGGGAAAATAGCTTATGACAAGCTGGCAGTCAAACAGGTAGTTAATTTTTAAAAACTAAACCTAAGTAACAGGAACTGAAGATTCATAATAAACTGCCTCTCTAGGGCATGTCCTTCTTTCCCCAGCATCTCAGCCTCCATCAGAATTAGCTCTGGTCTTGGGGCACCTGTGTGGCTCAGTCTGTTGAGCGTCCAACTTCGGCTCAGGTCATGAGCTTGCAGATCGTGACTTCCAGGTCCTCATCGGCCTTGCTGCTGTCAGTGCAGAACTT